TTATGTGAGGCAAAGGAAGTAGCTAGAATACCATGGGTTGGGGTGGGGCTGTCTGGAAGGGAGGAGTGTGACTGAGAGGAGTGGCCCCGAGAGAACCCTGAGGGACAGAACCAAGACACTTCCTGTTGAGTTGGTGGAAGATGAGCCCCCTGAAGCTGAGGTTTCACCCCCAAATGCCCATCCACTCAAGAGTCTGCATGAGTCAGAACAGATTCACACGATGGCTTTGTCAAAGGCTCCTGCCTCTCGTGAATGTTGGTCAGCTTTTATTTTTTTGTTTGGAAAGAGACACTCAATTCCTTTGAAAATTAGGCTTGCTGGGGCAGTAAGAAAAAGTCAGTGTCCATCCCACTTGAAAGAGTTTAAGAATTTCATCTGACTTCACAGCTGAGCCTGGGTCCCCTGAGGGTGTACATGCTGCTGTGATGGAGCAGGTCACAACTCAGGCACTACAAGTTTACACAAGAAATGTGAAAAATGTTTAGAAAGGACCATGTGAGAGCCAGGGTGAGAGGGTTTGGGATCAGGGTTGTTGCACTTTATTTTGGACTTTACTTAACTGCATTGATGGTGACTGTGGGTGACCGATCGTGACCCATCCCACATATTCACACCAACCCCCCATCTCTTCCAAATAAATAATCTCAAGTAAACATGAGTGTGCCTGCTCAGTCAGTGATGCTCCAAACTTCCTTGCCTTTTACTATAGATTGAGTTATGTCTCCCCCGATGACATACTGATGTCCTAACTGCTTATGAATGGGACCACATTTGGAAATAGGGTCTTTGCAGATATAATGAATTAGTTGATGCTGTGTTGGATTACAGTAGGTCCAAAATCAAATGTGACTATTGTCCTTATAAAGAAGAATAGAAATACAGAAAAAGACACACATGGAGAAAGTCTTGTGCTAACAGAGGAAAAGATCAGAGTGGGGCCTCTATAAGCCAAGGCATGTCAAGAGTGGCCTGCCAGCAAGCCTAGAAGCTAGAAGAAAAGCCTGGAAACTTCTCCCTCACCTTTAAAGGCAGCAGGGCCCTGGCAACATCTTCATTTCAAATTTCTAGCCTCAGAGTTGTGAGACAACAAGTTTCAGTTGTCTCAAGCCATCCAGTTTGTTATGGTTTGTTAAGGCAGCCCTCGGACACTAACACAGATTGCATCCTACTTCATTTCATGTTCAAGTGTGTTTACTCCTGGTGGTTTCTCTGCCTGGGATGTTCTCACCATAGACTTTTGCAGAGGCCCACAGGAAGTGGTCTAGTAAGGCTGGGAGTCTCAGAGTGTTCAAGCGCACATATGTCTGCATCCCAGGCCATCTCTGTCTGGGATCTGGAATCCTAACCTTGCATCTAGGATCTGGAAGGGAAGAGCCATCTCCATGTTCACATCAGAGCCACTCCAACAGGTTGTCCAATGAGAGGGAGGCTAATAAACCTGCGAGGCTCAGAAGCATCCAAATTGAGTTCACTTGGGGATAACTGATGATCATGAATTAGAGGACCCTCATTCTGCTCCCCAAAAAAAACTGACTCAAAGAATCCCCCAAATTAAAAGGAGATGAATTCATATGGAAGTTTTTGGAGCACAGAACCCACTTAAGAAGTGCAACTGTGAGTAAAATTTCAAAGGATGAAGGAAATCAGAAAGGACATGATCACATTCTCACCCCTTGAAACTAGACTCGGTTTCAGGGCTGGGAATAACTGAGGCAGACGTAGAGGGGCTTAGGCAGTCAGGGCAGGATGGCTAGTGAGGAGTTTGGGGGCAGGGCCAGAACAAAGGAGCATGGAGAGGGTCTTCTAATGAGGTCAACTTCCTGCTTGACCAAAGTGCTTGTGGACACAAGTGGGGGACCCAATCAGACAGATACAATCAGACAGACACTTCTGTGCTCATGCTCCTAAGCAGGGGAATCCATTAGAAAAACTAAAACAGACTGTGGACACAGGAGGGCACCAATCAACAATAGTGAGGAGCATGTAGACAGGGGCAGAGATGAAAAAAAAATAGGAAATTCCAGAGACCATAAAAAGAATAAGCCAAAACTCTCCCACTAGATTCCCAGCTCGGGACCCCTTCTCTTGGGAAAAGTCTACCTCTGGATCTCTATCACTTTTACAATAAACCTACTTCTTGTTTGCTGTCTCTGGGTCTTGTTCTCCAATTCTTTGCTGAATAGAGACAGTGAACCTAGCACCACTAGATGGTAATATAACAAGTTTCCCCAGTTCTGATCCAGGGATCCTTCAAAGTCGTTCTATGGTCAGATTGGAGACTGCACCCCCTCGTTTGTCATTTTCAATAGAGTGGAGCATACATATACCTCTCTCTTTTTGCACAGATGTGAGATGAGCCCAGTGACCACCACGAGATTGCCCAATGATTAGAGGTTGAGATTATGACACAAACCACTCTTTAGCACTCAATATCCACTTTCTCCTTTCAGTTTTATTAAGGGGGGATTACACTGTCTGCCTTGCAGTGAGTTATGGCCAGGAGACTAAACACTAAACATTGGCTGAGACATGAAGGAGATACAAGGCTTCTTAAAAGATGATGACTAACGAAGGAGGAGAGAGCTATATCCTTCTCCCACTTGAGTTCATTGGCACCCAGAGCTCCAGGAGCCACCTTGAACCATCAAGTGTCCCTAAGACTCACATGCAAAGGATGTGGAAAGAAAGAAATTTGAGTCCCTAGAGAGACCATAAATACAATACCAGTTCTGAATTTTCTGTTTTTGGACTTAGTATAAGAAAAACTAAACTTGTCTTCTTTAAGCCATTTTTAGTGGGAGTCTCCTGTCATAGCTCACTGAATTTGATCCTGATTGATTCAGAGATGGTCCAAGGATTCAGAGATTCAAGATGATTTGAATTCTTGGACCTGGATTCTTGGGCCATCTTTGAACATCTATAAGCCGATTGCCCCTTGAACCCTTTTGCCTCATGATCTTAAGACATTAGCCTGAAGGGAAATTAAATTAAATCCCAAGCTGCTAATGTCTGTGTATGTTGTTAGCCTCCTAGGGAGCAAATCACTGGCCAGGTCCAAGAGGCTGGGATCAGAAATTATGGGAGAGGGTCCAGCAATCTGTATTTTAACAGATGCTCCCTCTAGGCAAGCTTTTGGGGTATATTATATATATTTCATATTCACTCCCATAGAATATGAAATACTTAAAGCATCAAAGACTATAGAGTGAGTTGCTTCCATTTCCAGGACCCAAAATATAGATGTGATACTGATTCCACTCAAGTTCCATGAAACATCCTCAAGGGGTTCTGATACAGGCTAAAGCTAGAGAATTACTCAGTTCCCAAGAGGAATTACACTTAGTGTTTGTACCCACAAATAATCAGGAATTGTTACCTAGGAATAACCAGGATTCAAGACATTCTTTTAAGGGGGTTAGGAGAAAAGAGGACTCGATGTTGAGGAGTAGATGTATGAATCAGGACTGAACTCACATGCACTCAGTAGCTTGATCTTCACAGCCACCAAGAAACTCAAGCTTAATATGTAATTCCAGCTTCTCGACTTGCTTTTGACTCTTTGCCTTTACTTCTTGAATGTGACCTCTTTCTAAGAATGAAATACATGGGACCTCAATCTGTCATGGTCACATCAGTGAAAATAATGTTTGTCTATACTCTAAGAAATTCTCCTGTGAAAGCAGCCAGCAGAGTCTAACACCCAGGATTCACAACCTCTAATTCATAGTTGCATTTTCGAAGCAGCTGAAGTTGTCTGCTAAATGAGCCATAGGACTTAAGCCTGATAATATCTCTAAAGGAAGTAGTAGCAGGTTCAGCCTCAGGGAGCAGCACCTCCCAGGTTACCAGCTTGGGACATCCCCACTAGATGCCCGGATGCATTGGTGAATGGCCTCTCCGGCCTATCCAGTTGTAGACTCATATCCTATTGGATTAGGATGCACCTTTTCATTGACCCAATTCTGCAGTGGCCCATCTGGCCACCAGAGGAAGCTAGCTTTGTCACTTTTTCCATAGACTTCAATCATGTGGACATTAATTATTCACAGGACTTTTTAACACCATTGGAATATTTAGAAAATCTCCAGACTTGTGAGCTGGACCTCCCCAAGGTAGAATCCAGAGAAGTATAGTTTCCAGTCTCCCCTGGGTGAAACCCAGGGAATCCAAGGGAGTCATGGAGACCGTGGGATCTGGATCTGATTTGTTGGTGAGAATGGAAGCAATGCTATGTGCTTCAAGATAGTGGTAATTGGGACACCTAGTCCCCAGCATGAAAGATACATCACTGGGCTGGCTGGTGGCAGTAACAGGGGCAGTTAAGTTTCACCAGCAGTTTGGGAACATAGTATGTGGTTTTAGATAACTTTTTTGGTGTCTCCTGTCTTACAAGAATTCTAAGACCTGCCCAACTTTTTTTTCTTTTCACAAATTCCTTTCCTGATTTATCAGCCCAAATTATCTGCTAGCAACTAAAGCTCATATGACTAATATAAAAGTGGGCACCGCACTTGTGACCATCAACAGAGCCTCTAGGAAATGAGATTAGGCACCTAGTCAGGCAGGGACTGATGACTCTGATGCTGCAGAGGGTTAGGGGATGGGACTCCTGGAGCCGAGGGCACACCTTTGGCTACCTGGGATAAAATGCCTCCCTGTACGCAAGACATTTAGGGGTACCTGGTGGCCACTCCTCTTGAACAATATGAAGGACATAAAGCATCAGATTACAGAGTAAGCTGCTTCCATTTCCAGGAACTCAATATATCCAAGTGATCCTGAGTCCACTCAAGTTGCACAAAGATTCTTTTGAGGCCAAGACTTTTCCTTTTGTTTTCCAAGACCAACCTCAGCTCATTGAGCCCAATTCCCATATCACTTGCTTGGAATCCCAAAAGACACAGGATTTTACAGACTGGATTATTCTAGGGTGATCAGTCCTCCCCTTCCACCTCCTCTTCTCCATGACCTCCTTTTGGATCAATTACAGCCACCAGGAAAAAAATGATAAAGACATTTATTGAGTCATCTACAGCAGTTTGACATCCTTAAATTCCCGGACAAGGTTGTGAGCACAGCATTAATGGCAGCAGCAGTAGCAATAAGGTCCATGGGGCTCATCTATATCATGGGAGATGAAACCCAGGCTGATCCAGTTCCCACAAGGGAGCCTGGATTGCATCTGGGATGCCAGGGACTGCACCACTCCAACCCTGGCAGGTGCAAAGCGACAGAACACAGACATCAGACAAGACACACGTGGCTGATTGCAGACACATTCCCAGACCTGGAGTTCAGGGGAAGGAGAAGGGATGGGCATATGGCCCATTGGAGAACTTTCCCACATCCTTGAAGGGGATTCCCAGGAGGGGTAGCATCGAAAAGCTCAAAACACCCACGTGGTCCTCTCCCCATCCTAATCCCAAGTGCAAACAGAATTAGTTGAAGATAAAGCTAAGACTCTGTGTCTGCCAGAGCCCTCTGGCTTCCTCCTCATCCCCAGTGCTGGTGGTTTTACAAATGGGGTAAAAGTCAACCCAGGAGCACTCAATGCAGTAAACAGACAGCAAAGAGCCCCTTTCAGGGGACTTCACCCCAGTAATGAGACCAAATTTGTGTCATTTCCAAAATTCATTCACATGCAGAGGGTCTCTCACTTCAACCTCATCCCTGGCCTGTGCAGATGATCCAATCACAACCGTCCATTTCTCAGATGAGGGCAGAGGCCTGGAGATGGTCTCACAGAGCAGGAGGCGAAGCCCAGCAGGTCGACTCCACTGCTTCTCCTGCATTCTGGAGTCCTAAACAGCTTTCAGTAGCCAGAGCCCCTCTGCTACACAAAGCCAAGTGTTTATTAGATGTAGATGCTTTGGGCACCATGTTCTGGCTCATGCGCAGGGATGTGTACGTACTGGTGGGGCCATTTCCTCATTCAGATTTATGCCTGGCCCACCTGTTTCCTCATCGGTCTGAAGGTGACAGCCGATCTGTCAATCTCCAAGTTTCTCCTGGCTCTAGTCTTTTGTGTCTCCCCAAAGCCACAAGGGAATGAGACAAGGTTAAACAGCAGGTCAGTGGCAAAGCAGGGAGAAGCCCAGGTCCCTGCTCCCTGCTTGGGGCTCTTCCAGCTGGTTTCCATGCTGCCTGGACTCAAGTGATTCATATGACACAATGCTCACTACTTTCACTCTGGAGTGGCCCTGAAAGGGATAAGGGTACTCAAAGAATTAAAGAGAGAGTCTCTTCCAGGAAAAGAGAGGGACTGATCAAGGAGCAGAGGCCTTGGCATATAACAGATGCAGGTCTATTTCCAGCCTCAGGCCAGGCTGTGGCTCCCCAGTCTTATTTCCCAAGGACCCAGCTCACAGAAGATGGGGTTAGAGAAAGACAGACATGCCACAGATGGTCACAGGGCTGCCTACTGAAACAGAGAATGTATTTTGGCCCCAAGTATGATGGAGGTCCTGAGGCTCACAGTGCTGGGGACTGTGACAAGGCTGCGGAACCCCTAAATTCCACTCTCTGGCTCTTCACTGGCTCCACGGCAGCCTCAGCTTCCCTAATTTGTGCCTCTCCTGACACTGCCTGCCTGTCCCACACCTGGACAGTCATGTCAGGGGTGAGATTTCCCTATCCCGAGAAGAATCTGGCCACCCATGGGTGAGGTTTAGAATTGCATAGAACAAAAAAAAACCCTTCCCAGGAATGAACCCCCGCAGGCATGGAGCACAACAAGTCTGTTCTTCTCCAGGTGAACATTTCCCAAGTGTCCCCACCCCTCTTCACACAGCAGGATTCCTTATCTTTTGGGAGTCCAGGCAATGACACAATCCTTACTTGGGGCCCCTTCCAAGGAGATGGCTGGTATTTAGAGAGAATTCCAGGATGTGTCAGGCTACGTAAGAATCATCTAGTCTTATTGCCCATGCTATAGATTTGAAAACAGAAGATCTGGTCCCAGGCCTCATGCCACCCTCCCACTCCCCATGACCCTAAAACAGAAACTTCTGGAACATTCAGAACACAGCAGGTACATCTTCTCACAAGACTGGCAAAAATCTATTCAAACAGAAAACAAACCGAGAGGACCTAGAACCTCTAGGAGGACAGAGGCCCAGGGCTCAGCAGTAGTGCAGAACACGGGACGCGGGGTGACTTGTTTTCGCTGTTTCGCAATGATGTAGCTATAAAGTCAGTTTCTTCTTCCACAGTGACATAGCGCTGCTGGTGAGGGTGGTGACAAATGAATGAGGTCCATATAACTGCTCCTTGGATCTGTTTGCCACCTAGTCACAGCACCCTGCCCAAGCCAAGTGGAGCGCTGGTCTGCACATCACACCCAAGGCACCTGTTCAAATGTCCGTGACCTGAGCCTCCCTTCCGTTCTACTGGCTTCCATCATGGTGTCCAAAAGGAAGGGAAAGGAGCTGGGTTTCGAAGAGAAAATAAACAGCATTCTTCCCTCACCTACAGACCCCCCCCTCCTTAAAACCTCAGATGATACACACATCATGCATGCATGCCCTTTTACCTGCCTTCGTTTTGAACTGGAAAACTGAACAGTACAGGGCCCAGAGAAACATTAGATGCCACCTCATTTCATGAATGGAGAAACTGAGGCCCAGAATAGGGAGGATTGCGTCCATAGTCACAGCCGTGAGAACCCAGCTGGGGCAGAATCCTGGTCTCTGAATCCCAGGCCGGGGCTTCTTCCAGGCAACTCAGGGACTCCAGCAGTGACCCAAGTGCAAGGTGATCAGTAGACACTTCTTGGGCAATGCACCTGCCTCCCCAAGCAGGGTGAGGGGATCCGGAGGTCTGGCTCAGGGTAGAAGGGACCACTGCACACCCCACGGCAAGTCCAAGTCATTTAACATGCTGAGGAAAGGGCAGAGTTCCTTTCCGGGTGGTTGACAAAGACCCAGGGACTGACTTCCCTGTGGAGGACGCAAGACTCATCTCCAAATTAGAGCAACTATAGCCTTCTCCAGTCCCTCTGAAAGGGTCTCCAGAAGCACTGCCAAGCCCCCCAGGGTTCCTTCCTCTTTGTGAAACCAAGACAAAGCAACACCCACACCCACCCCAACCCCCAAGCATTTCAGAACATGGGCAGGAAGCAAGTCCACAAACGCAGAGACAGGAACAAGACCAAGAGCTGAGGTGGAATGAACTGGGCCCCGGGGCCATGGCACTCTAGCACTTTTCTCAACCTTCCCTGAACCTGGTTCTGCCCTATTTGAAATTCGTAGGTGGTGGCTGTGCCATTTGCAGCTGGGAAGCCAGAATGAGCACTGGGTTGGGGGGGGGGAGGCAGGGGGGCATCAGCTCCTCCCACCAATAGCTTCTGCTAATGGGTGTGTAGGCATGGTGTCCCCTCAAGCTCCCTAGCAGCCCACAGTGATTCAATGTCAAGGGCACACAGGGGGATGTAGTACAGAGGTCTCAGATAGAGTTCAGTAGTTGAGTCCAGGTCGGAGGACCTGGTGACTGGGGCTCTTTGTCACCCATGGAGGCAGGGCCTGGGGGAGCCCTGGGCCCAGGACTTGGGCACATTGGAGGTGTGAGGTGCTCCAGGATTGGCTGACATCACAGGAAGTCGGCTGGTTCAACCTAGTCATGGCTTTGACTTAAGGGGAAGGAGGGAGGGGGGCTTAGGGACTCTGGGGCATCTACTGGGGACAGGAAGGGCAGAAGGGGAGCTACCAGATGAACCCTGCCTGTCTCATGTCGGGGTTCAACAATGGAGATGGAGGAAGTCTTCTTGAATGGGTCTTCCAAACCATTCTATCTCCTTTTCAATCATACTCACATTTCTGGCTCTCAGCTCTTCTTGGATCAAATGAAAAGCACCAGAACTTTTCCTGACCCTCAAACCCCACCCCCAACTGAAGTCTCTGATTGAAAGAGTGTGGAGTTTTCCCACAACCCTGATACCCAGAGGTTGGGGACCTGGACACCAAGATGCCAGGTGAGCATGAGGGAGCCTTGGGGCTGGCCTGCATTGAAGGATCCGGCCACCCCAGCTGGACCTCTGGCTAGCCTCAGGGACTAGGCTCAGACAAGAAAAGGTCCCATATATGAAGTCAAAACTGAGGGGGTTGTTGAGGCGGACATCAGACCAGACACTCCAGAGCAGGGTCTCTTCAGCCTCAGCTCACGAGGCCTCGTGCCTGGGCTTAGGCCATCACTGAGGCTGGCCAAGACGCAGTGCAATGGAACTGGGCTGGCTGAAGTGAGCGGGGACATGGGTGGAAGGGAAGAGATGGGACAACTTTCCAAATTCAAGGAGTATTTACATGTCCAATCAGGGACCAAGGGACCATGGTGAGCAGTACCAGTACCCAAACAGGAGGGGCAATAACAATCTGCGCCCCGCCACCTTCTCCCCACTTGGGGAGGAGCCAAGCTGCCAGCCCAGGGCCTGCCCAAAGGGAGGGAAGAGGCGCGAACGTGCACAGCCCCTGCCCACAGCCCCAGCCTGTGTAGGAGGAAAGGAAGAGGGGAGGGGGACTCAGGTGGCCAGGTTGTCGGCCGGAAGGCTGGACATGCGGAGCTGGGAGCTGCTCTTGCTCAGGATGGAGAGCTGGGTGCCCCCGTTCACCCCACTGCTGGCCAGGGATGGGTGCCTGTGCTTGAAGTCCATGGTGAAGTAACGGTTCACCTTCCAGCTCCGCCATTTCCTCTTGATCTCTGCCTGCACCTGCAGGGAGCAACTGGGGCTGTTACCTCTGGGCGACATCCTCTCCAGGCACCAGGTCCCACCCTGACTGCAGGCCTTCCGAGGCTGTCACCTCCAGTACTCCTCCTGGTACCCCCTGCAGACATCCCCCTAGTCACTGCCTGGGGAAGGCCTTCGGACAGCTTCCTATTGTCTCTGGCTCACTCCAAAAAGAGCTGGGTGGGTCTTTAACAAGCAGTCCCTCAGGGCACATGCATCAGGGTAAGGATGCCCATTCTTGCTGACCATTCACACTGGGCTGCCTGAGAATCACCCAGAGAGTTTTCAAAGTCTCAGATCCCAGACCATATGGATAATTACATCCCATCTCTGGCTAAGATCCAGATGGCAGTAGCTTTTACAACATCCCAGGTGATTGCAGTGTGCAGTCATGGCTGCGAACCACTAAGCAGTCCTCTGGCAAATGCACTCCCATGTAGCCCTTACTTAGTACGGCAACTGGGGGGTCATGCCAAGTGAGTCTCAGCTTCCATTTGCCCTTCAGCCAAGTTATCTCTGTGCAGTGCACAAAATAGGACTAGAAGCAGCACCCACACTCCCCCTCTCCACGTCCAGCTCCCCTTCCACTGCAGGCTCTTGACAAGCTACACCTACTCCCGTGTCTGCTCTCCCCGTCACTCCTGCAAGGCCCTCTCTGTCGCTCCTCATTTGTCCTAATCTGACCCTTGCTCTAGGTCATTCCAGTGATGGCTGAGCCCAATCACCTGCTGAGGTCACGGTCACACAGAGAGCACTGTTGCTCCCTCTCCAAACCCATCCCACACGTCCAGCCCGGGCCCCATCCCAGCACCTGTCTGGGTTCTCTTCAAGAGCATCACTCCATAGGTTAGCTCTGGAAGTGGAGCATTACTGGAAGGTTCCAGGTCTCTCCCTGAGGTCTCTTCCAAATCCTCCCATTCCTTGCTCTACCAGGGGATGGATTTGAGTGAAGCAGGGGGTTCTGCTGGGGGGCAGTGCTGAATGCTGGACAGCTCCTGGTCTAGAAATCTTGCCCATCACAGCCTCCTGACCTGTGGTTCCTGGGCCTGTGTCCTCCCCTGCCTCGCTGTCACCTCCTCCTCACTGAGTTGCCTCTCACGAGTGCAAGTGCAGGAGCTCTGGACTCAGCAGAGCTGCTGTCTTCCTTTGGGTAGAGCTCTGTGCTCAGGGTGGGCCTCAGCGGCCAAGTGGGAAAGGTCCTGGCCCAGGTGGAAGTTGTCAGGAGACCCTGACAAGACAGGACACTTGCAGCTGTGTGACCAGCTCCTCCCCTAGGTGCTGAGAGCCTAGCAAAACTCTTGTCAGGGGGATCTATCCTGGTGTTTGCTCCCCAGCAATCCCCACTTCCACTGGTGAGAAGCCAAATGGCCAGGGTCTTACCTCCCCATTCAGAAAACAGTAGAGAACGGCCACCACAAAGCCCTGGGGAAAGAGGAGAAATAAACCTCAGAATGCCATATGCAGAGGGTGTGGGGGAGGGCAGGGGTGGGAGCATAACAACGGGAAGCAGAAAAATGCCAAGACCTGGATAGGGGACCCTGCCCAAGGCTCTGGGATGAGACAGGTGTGTTCTGCTCCACCAAGATGGGCAGTCAGGAAGCCAGGTGGCTGGTGGGCGAGAACCCACCAATACACCCAGGCTTTGAATCCCATGTGCCCTTGGTAGAACCCTTCCCAATGCCTTTTTGCGCCCCCCTTTTTTTGTGGGACCAGGGATTGAACCAAGGGATGAGTTATCAATGAGCTGCATCCCCAACCCTTTTTTTATTTTTTATTTTGAGACAGGACAGGGTCTTGTCAAATTGCTTAGGGCCTCACTAAGTGGCTGAGGCTAGCTTTAAACCTGCCATCTTCCTGCCTCTGCCTCTTGAGCCACTGTGATTACAGGCTGTATCCCACTTCCCCTGAATGCCCCAGAACGTTCTCTGGGCTCTCCAACTGGATGGCAGGCTCCTGAGACAGGAGCCCTCCAGGATACAACAGAAGCATGTTTTCTTTAACTATTACTGTCTCCCCACTCTCCCTCCACCCTCCACCCTTATCACAGCGAAGCCAAATACCATGTAAAGTCAGTCCTTGGCATGGAACATGGGTTTAGCCACTCTATATGTACACACAAAAAAACAAACAAACAAAAAAACGAGAACATTCTCCTGAATGCTGCCAACAAATTTCTTGCAATCCCTGTGCCCTAGGTGGTCATTTGAAGGTGTCAGCAGAATAAGGACTGGAATACATCAGCAAGTCCAAACATGGGAGCCCTGGGTTCTGATTCCTGGTTCAGAACTTGCTCTATAAAAATCTGTCCCAGTCTGAGCAGGTTCAGAAGCTGAGCCAGGTAAAGTGGCCTTGAATTAGAATGCAAAACACCAGTCAGATGTGCAGAATAATGTCCTGACCACCAAGCTCAAATGCTATATTAAGCAGATGGCTCAGGGACAGACACTCTACCCAGCACACCCCAGGGAGCCATCCCTCCCCTATGAACCCACTGTTACTGCCCACGCACACCAGGACTCACAGCCCCATCATTCATCCCTCCCCATGTGGACTCATTACTCCACTGCTCCCTGCATCTCCTGGCTCACTTGGATATGCATCTATTTGCTCATGTCCTTGCCAAGCTCACTCAGCTCCTGAGGCCAGGGCCTATGCTGGGGACTCCTGTGTCAGGGACCCTAACTTGAGTAAGACAGAACTCCAGCCCGGCAGGGGTGCAGGATTAGAAGGCTGAAATCAGGATGTGGACACACAGGGCTCTCAAAGCCATCCACCCTGCAGCCCAGGCTGATGGACAACTGTCATCTCAGATTGCCCAAGGGGCGTGGCACAGGAAGCTCAGTCATAGTGATATGCAGATATTGGCGTGTCATCCTAGAGCTTTCACAGAGTGCTTCTATTCTAGTACTTATTTCAGAGACAGAAACACTGAGACCTGGAGTGAGGTGAAGAGGTTCCAGAACTACCCCTGGTTCTGGGGAATTCTTCCCTCCAATTGTGCCATGCCTTACCTGGAAGGAGCCCAGCCCCAGCTCAAACACGAGTCTTTCCCTCTTGCTGACGTTCTCTGGGGAGAAGGCGAATACAGTGTAGTGGATTCCAAACAGCGGGATGAGCAGCAGGGTGGACCGGGCCAGCCGTCTGTGGAGAGAAAGTAGCACATGTGCTCCAGAGACTGCCAGGTCTTGGGACCAGAGCCACAGAGGATCCAGTCCCAGCCCCTGGCTCTCCCCCAGGTCCCTGTCAACAGTTCTGCTCAGCATTACGTCAGTGCAAGGGACCTGGGAAAGAAGGGAACTGACCAGGGCCCAGGCTTCCAGGACTCCCTGAGCTATTATGGGGCGGGGCTTCCTCAGTCTGCAAGGCACCCAGTCAACATCCTGCAGAGCCACTAAAAATGTACACACTATTTATAGGACCCCCCTGAGCAATGTGTAAAACCCTTGGGGGTAAATAAATTCAGAGCAAAACACAGGACTGGTATTCAGGAGGCTGGAGGCAAAGCAAAGCTTCTCCTGTTCTGGAAGGAAATTCTATGTGCCACAAAAGTTGCTCCTGAAGGCCACAGAGTTTCTGTGTTTCTGAGTCTGGGGTGAGTGGAGGACATTCCCAGAAAGCAACAGGAGTGCTGAACACAGGGAGGGAAGGCATTGGCTGGACCACAGCTGGATTCTAGGAAGGACCTACAGACTCTGGGCATAAACCATCTCTTCCCAGGCAGGAAGAAGCTTCTGCCCAGGAAACTGGGTAAAGGGGAGAGAACAATCTTGGCTCCAAGGTGGGACAGACAGGGGAACCACCAGATGGGTGGCCCACTTTCTCCCTGACTCTCAGCCCACCACTGGCTCTCAGGTCAAGAGTGGGGTGGTGCCCTGTTCTAAGGGTGCAGAGGCTTAGAGACCCAGGATGGGGGCACCAGGCAGCTGTGCTCTCTAGGGAGGAAACTCTCCCAGGAGCTCCCAGGACCCCAGCTCCACCTGCTCCAGCTTACTGGCTCCCTGTGGACCTCCCCAAAGAGTCCTGTCCTGCAGATGTGTTCTGTCCCTCAGCTGCACCCAACCTGGCTCTCTGGAGGGTCAGACCATGCTCTCCCCACAGAGGATGGTTCACAAAAGTGGACGTGAAGTTTAGGGTGCCTGTTTGATAGGGGCAATTGTACTCTGTGCTTCTCCTTCCTCCCCATCCCAGACTTTCTAGGAAAGAACATTATATTGAATATGGAGGCTCCACACTTCTAGAAAATTGAAACCATGAGATCTGTGCAAGGTCTTGGTGTCTTGGCTTCTGTGAGGAGAAGGCAGGAGGGAGAAGGCAGGCAAGGAAGAGGAAGAGACACAGGGAATAAGGAGGAGGAACAGCCTGAGAAGACCTGCAGGAAGAGGAAGCTCAGCCCAGAAGGGAAGAGGCCACTGGAGTGTGGCCAACCTCCTCCCTGCTCACAGCCTGTTCTGCAGGCCCTGAGGGTCCCTAGACCAAAGCAGGGCCAACAGGAGCTGAGCAGTCCCTGCTGGGAGTCCAGGTGCAGCCCTGAGTAGCCTGTCCTCTCAGCCTTCCTCTTAGAAAGTGCCCCCTGAAGAAGGCAGAGAGGCTCCTGTTTGTCTGTTATGTCCTGCAGCAAGCACCTCTGGGCTTGGACCTGATGCCCAGAAATGCCTGCTCCAGGGAGCAATCCATGGACCACACAGGCACAAGAGCCCGGAGTCCTTAAAGCCAGACATCTGGGCACATGGGTGCTGCTCATCTCTGGGTGCCCAGAGTCTGGAACCAGAAGGCAGCAGAGGGTGACAGATTAAGAAGAGCCAAGGAAAGGGGCTGGAAATGCAATGTGTGGCCCCCCGGGGGCTTCACTCTGGTCCTGTCTAACAGGCTCACTTTAAAACACACAGGAGCTCAGGAAGGGAGGCTGCCCTGAAACAGGACTGGGGTGCCTGCCTCCCTCCCTCCTGTCTTCCTGTCCTGCAAATGGACAGTTTCCAGGAACTTGGCCTTATCGTCTGAAAAGAGCCCTGGAAACCAAGATGTCAAACCTCTCCAGTGTCAATGGTGGCATGAGATGCGCTGGGTTCACAGTGGGGCTTTTCATGCAGGGGCTCAGGCTCTTCCCAGGCCCAGAACAGAAGTGGTAGCTGCACCGAGGGTATCCCATGGATAGGCCATGGGCAGCTTCCCTCCCCAGCACCCTGCAGCAGCCTCAGCAAAGTCAAGGACTTTAGGCAGGGACCAGGTGGCTGCAGGGGCCCCTTTGGCAGACAGGGCACTGAGGACAGAGGAGAAGGCCTCTAAAGCTCAGGGGGGTGGGGCTTGTGGACCTGTGACCTGCCTGGAGGCCCTACAATTGGAACTTAGGATATAAGCCTCACACTATAATCACCCAGAGAGACAGTGACACAGGGCGTAGCAATGTCCTACTGCCCTGAGAAGACTTCAATAGGCAGAAGAATCCTAAAATGCCAAGAAGAACTTCCAATGATTGGAGCTGCATCAACGACAAGGGGCTGCCAAGGAGGCAGTGACACCCCCAGTCCACGTGGACATCCAAATTGAGGCTGACCTGGTCAGAGTCAACCTAAGCACAGTGTTCAAATCCTGGGTTCAAATTCTCACCCTGCCAATAAAGTGGCCTCGAGTGAGTCACTTCACCTCTCTGTGCTTCAGTTTTCTCATCTGTAAAATGGGGACAATACAAGGACCCACCTCATAGAGTGGCTGCCGAAACAAGTGACTTGCTACCAACTTGCACATCGAGTGCTCTAAGTATCGGAGTGAGGGTCCCCTCCTGTGTGCAGGGGTTTGGCCTCGATAAACTAAAGTTCTCACCCTTATTAGAAATAATTTTGCAATTGCAAAGACTGAAGCTCAGAGAAGTGGGGGATTTGGGGAAAGGTCTCACACACACAAGGCAGCAACCAAGACTGCAGAGCTTCCTCCTCAGCACCAGCCAAGCCCCCAGGATGCTGCTACCATGACTGCAGCTCCGTCCCCACACCTTGCCCTCCCGCCCCAGGACCACAAGATTACAGAGAACTCACAAGACACGGGGACAGACGTCAACATGCAACAGCCGGGGATCAGGGCCAGGCTGGGAAGCACAAGGTGGCTCTCCACTCTCCAGCCTGCCGAGACGCAAGCTCGAGGCAGTGGCGGCATGCGTCCCCCTCCCCTCCAGGACACCCGGCCACAGCCACGGCCACGCACACTTACAGAGTAATGGTGGACAGTTCTGACATCTTGCAAGAGTGCTGCTGAGCCCGCTGTGGCTTGCAGTAGCATTTCTGCACGCAGCTGCTGGGTGTGACAAGATTAGCACTTCTGTCAGCTGGGGACACCGGGCAAGGAAGAAACTGAGGCAGGACTTAAGGAGGGAGGGCAGAGGAACAGGGGGGTGGAGGCAGGGCCAGGACATTCCTGAGGAGAACAAGGAAGCCTAAGGCCAAGACTCAATCGGCTCTGGACAAAGAAAGGCACGCCCACATGTGTAGGTGTGTGCTTAGTTGCACACACACCCACAAGCACTCACTGGGACCGCCAACAGGTTGATGATCTTAGGGGGAAGGTGTGTGTTCAGAAGGTAGGATGTGGGCAGGGGCCGAGGCAGGGAGCCCGAGGCTCAGCCCCAAGCTATTGAGCACACAGTCTTGCTGCAGGTCACTCAGTGAGACAGACAGCTGGAAACTCACACCACAGACCTCATCACACGCTGCCTGGTCTGGGCAGAGTGAGCTCTGAGCTCGGTTGTGTGTGTCACCTTAGGTGTCCTCTGGTCATCCCCTCTATCCCTCTCTCCTCCAGCCCCGGCTGGCCTTCCTCTCAGGGTCAAGAGTGCTGTCTACAGAAGACCAGACTGAAAGCACTGCTCATCCGTCTAGTCTGGACTTGCACCGTCCACTCTGAGAGTCACTACGCATAGGCGGCTATTTGGATTAAAATCAATTAAAATGAAATCAACTTAAAAATCCACCTCCTCAGTTGTCCTAGCCATATCATAAAAGCTCAAGGGCCACATGTAGCCAGGGGTGACCATGCAAACAGCGCAGGTGCCAGGCATCTCCCTTGCCGTGGAGAGTTCTGGATAGTGCTGGGAATTCAGTGGGCAGGTGCTGAAGACTGAGAGAATGGCTTTGGAGCACTGCCCCCTGTCCTGCAGAAACAGGCAACTTTAAGAAGGTGGGCCCAGAAGCCAGTCTAGCTCTATAGCCTGCTGGGTGGGCACAAGCCTCAGGGTATACAGACTCCATCTCTTTCATTCCTTCCTGTTCATGCTTGAGTGGGCACAAGCTGCGGACATGTGTTCTCCTCTCAAGATGGGTCAACAGCTGCATCATCTCACACATAGGAGCAGCTCCTTCAAAGCCCTTTTCAGGAGCCACACACGTGGCCTTGAGATTCCTAGTACTGGACGGTGAACTGATATATTAAACATGAATCAGATGTCCATAAAGTCAGATAATTTGGGAAAGGTTAGATCCTTGGCATTCATAGATATGCTCTTTTTTGACTCCACCTCTTTGAGTACAAGTCCGAAGGCACGTGACATGTGGGGATATGTCATTCTGCTGAGGGAAGAATGTGTATCATGCACTTCTGATGGAATATTATTACTCAGCCATAAAGAAAAATGAAATTATGGCATTTGCTGGTAAGTAGAAGGAACTGGAGACTATCATGCTAAGTAAAACCAAAAACCAAAGGCTAAATGTTCTCTCCGATATGCGGATGCTAACACACAATGGGGTGTGGGGGGGTAGAAGTTCATTGGATTAGACAAAGGGGATGAAGGGAAGGGGGGAGGATGGTAATAGGAAAGATGGTAGAATGAATCAGACATAACTTTCCTCTATTCATAGATGAATATACAACCAGTGTAACTCCACACCTTGTACAACCACAAGAATGGGATACTAATTAGTATAATGAGTTATACTCCATGTATGTGTAACATGTTAAAATACACTCTTCTGTCATGTGTATCTAAAAAGAACAAAATTTTTTTAAAAAATGTGTGTCATATGCTTCAAAGATGAGACCAACTCCAGCCTGCCCAGCATCTGTGCTGTGCCTCTGTGGGTTTGTGGTTCTCATTTTATAAATGGCCCCTTTCTGTTCTCATTACTTGCAAGGTGGTTACTGTGAGCCCATTTTTGAAGAAGAGAAATGTGTGGTGTGGTTTGATGCTTTGCTTTCCCCAGACCAGCAGCAACAGGATCCACCTAAGAACTTCTTAGAAATGGCAGACTCTTGGGGCCACCCTGGCTTGCTTGACTCAGGATCTGCTTTTTAATTAGAGTTCCCAGCTATTCATGCATCTAAGTTTTTCCTGTGTCCTCAATGAATGCCCAAAGTCTCAATTACAAATATACAAGAAGACACACAGATGCAAATAAGGACTTTTTTCTCAATAATTAAAAGGGCTCATTAGGTCATACAGGAATGGTAGTTATTCATTCTATCCTTATTATCTCCCTTGCATGGACTGAAAGGCTGACTGGTCTCCCCTAGATGGCCTGGTCTCCCCTAAATGGCCCAGAAACCAAGGTCAGAAGCCAGAGACCTACCCACAGCAGCAGAGCCTGCGCCAACGCCATCACCCTGAATTCTAAGCTTTGGCCGTTCTCTGAGATCCCTCTATGTTTAGCTCCAAAGTGTCCCTGATCTTCCAGGACTCCAGATATTTCTACAGTAAACATGGCATCCTCTGATTATTTCCAAGATTTTTAAAATAATCTAAAGACTATTATGTGACAAGTTAGCTGGGACGCGGCACGTGATGGGGGAAGAGGAGGACAGACGGATGAGCAGTAAAGGGGGGTTGGAGGCATCTCAGGGGAGATGGATCTAGGGGAAAGGGGAAAGGCCCCTTTGCCTAAATATGTCCTTCCCCAGACCTTCAAGGACTGTGCAAAAGAACTCACTGAAAAGAAGAAAAACAAGACTGCAGCAGGCTGGCCAGAGTCAGGAGCGTGAGAAAGAAAGAGAAGGCAGAGTCTCAGGACAATTAGTAAAAAGAGAAAAGGAATTTCATTAAAAGGAAGAGATAAGGCTAGGCAGACTGATGAGATCAGTTCCGAGTTGGCTCCAAGGGAGACCAGAAACTCAGATGAGGGTGCTGGGTGGGGCTGCCCGAATCAGAATGCAGGAGGCCCCGGCTGCAGGTACACGACCCACTCTGCAAGTCAGGGGGCCCTTGACTTCCGGACCCGACTCTGCCATGGCTTTGCTGTGTCTGCTGGAAGGTCAAAGCCATCCCTGGTCTCAGAACTCAAGGATCTGGCAAAAGGTGTCTACAGTAGCCAAACTCCAAGAGCATTTCAGTGGTCTTTGTTGAGAGGCTGGTTGGACTGCAGCCCCAGAAAACACCCAGGTTGCTAGACAGAGACGTCTGTGGAGGACCTTTGCAGGCAGAACCCCCATCTTCTTCACTTCTGTGATCCTAGAGATCAGTGTGGTGCTGGGCCCTTGAGAGGCTTCAGAATGTGGTGGTCTGAGCCAGACATGCCTCAGTGGGTCTCTTCTGATGCTAAGGTGCTATGTACACCAGCACCCTGCCCATGCTCAAGGAAGTGCTCCCCAGCACACCAGCACCCCAGCTCTGCAGATCTTGGAAGCTTTCCTGCTCAACACCATGTCTCCCCTCTTCTCTGTGCTCCCTGCCAGCATGGAGAGGTGTTAGATGAGGAGTCGGGCACTCAAGTTCAAAGCTTTGTTCAGCCACTAATGTGTTGGGTGACCCAAGTTATATCATATTCCTTCTTGGGGAATCAGTTTCTGCAAAATGAGGGTAACAATTCCCTGCTGATCAGCCTCCAGCAGAACGGTGAGGAGGGGACACTCCCAGGCAGGGCAGGGCAGGGGCACTCTGGAGTGGAAGATGGAGCCCCACGTGAACCAGAAACCTCTGGCTGTGGGTGAAGGCCCTGGACTGAGCCCCTGGCTGCACAGCGGCCTTGCCACAGCAGGACCAATCTTGGGAGGGGCACACCGTCTGCCCTGATGGGGCTGAGGAAGCCCCAAGAGGGGTGCACATAAGCTTTCCCACCCCTACCCTATACCCAAAATGCAGCTTCCAGTGCCCATCTTCTGGCTAGAGGTGACTGGGAATGAAGTCACCATGCCAGAGCAGGGGCCTGAGGCTCTTCCTGTACAGAAGGTGTCTGCCTTAGAAACTTCACCCCTCCCTTTCTGGAACCAGGTAAACTCAGATCTGCAGCCAAAGGCAGGCTGACCCTGCCGGCAGAATGCTCAGCCCTAACTTTAATGCTCAGCCCTAACTCCGGTCTGAGACCAAGCCAATTGTGGACCCATGCTGAGCCCTGACCTAGGCCCTGACTCCATCCCTGGCCATTGCCAAACCCTGATTCCAGCCATTCATTCTACCAGGAGCATCAGGTAGGAGTGTGGGTGGCTCAGCGCCACTGGCCCCTGCAGGGGCCCCACACCCCAACAGGTCCTTCTGAGGCTGGGTCAGGAGCGCCGTCTTGGTCTCCGTAGGAAAACCCTTTATCATCTGAGCAGCTGGAACCAACCTACAGGAAAGGGAGTGAATGCTGGTCTGAGGGCACAGGCAGGGGGTCCTCTCGGGTTTTCTTGGGGACTCCCAGGCTTAAATTTGTTCTGGAAACAGAGGAAAAAAAACCAGAGAGCTGTTGTGGGCAGATATGAAGAGGCTTTGCAGCCCAGCATATACTTCTGGTGCCCCAGAGGATGGGGCACAGTCCTGGCCTCTCCCTTTCCCACCAAGCCCGGTCTTCTCCACCTTCCCCCCAAGCTTCTCCCCTCCTCCCCATGCACACACCTCCCTGCTCACAGCCAGCCCCTCTTCCACACCCTCTAGCTGGGGACAATTTTACGCAAGGCTGGAGCCCATTAGGAGCCTCTTCATCCAGGAAACCTCATTGTATCAGTTAGTTGGACACCACCTGCTGGTCTGCGAATCAAGGATAAGAATAGCCTGGAGAAATGCCCCCCACCCACTGAACTGTACCTACACATTGACTCTATCCTGCAGGACTCATCCTAATTCCCTCAGCTCTAAGGTGGGGAATTGCTTACCTAGCCGGTCAGATGCGCTGGGTGTTTGTGAGCATAAAATGTGCACAGGCCAACCTGCAAGTGCTTTAAGTGCTCTGCAGTTCTTAGCAGCATTGTCACTGGATTATTGCTCATGTTCATGGAAAGGGTGTCCTTGACCCTGGGAACACTCCAACACGTGGCTGATGTCAATGGGATCAAACAGATTCCTTGTCTATCATCAGCCCACCCACCTGGTTCACAGCCCTGAGGTTTTCATCTTCCAGGCTTGAAACTAGCAGAGGTTTGGCTTTCTCTAAAAAGGATTTATTGAGTAGGCAAGGAGATGCTTTTAAAGAAGGAAACCAACTGTCTCTTCAAATGTCTTGGATCAACACTTAAATGGATAAGCCGTGTGCTAATGACAAGTGGTCCTCACCTATGCATTTGTGCCAGGACAGGACTCCACAGCGCCTACAGTGTGGACAATTTAAAACCCAGGCCCACGATTCTTTCCCATCTGACCCTGGGGGCTCTTGTTGCCTGGGGCAGGATGTCTGAGTCAGCCAGGGTTCGGAGCATCCTTCCTTAGGCTGAGCAGCTGGAACCAAGCAGCCTCTGTGGGTATCCCTGCACAGGCAGAGTGAGGGGAAGCTGGAAGGACCCCCACCCCTGGCCTGCAAACAAGAGGTCCCAGGGGCCTTAGAGGAAGAAACAGATCCTACCAGAAAGGGGAAGAGATAAAGCTGCTCTTGCTCAAATGGGAATGAAGCTCACTCAACAACCGGCCCAGCTACTGTGGATTTCCAATACCAGACATAAATGTCAGTGGGTGAACCAATTCCCAACCAAGCAGGAGAAACTGAGGCCACACAAGGACATGGTTTCCAACACCACAGGGAGGGGCGGGGAGGAGCAGGGCCCTATTTTGAGACTCCTGAGATAAAAGTAGGAAGGATGTCTCTAGGGCAGGTTGGGTAGTGGCAGAGGGCTGGCCCTAGCAGACATTATAGCTTTTATCAATGAATAATTTTCCACTATGTAATAGACACATGTAAGTAAGAGCTGACAAAAACCTATAAAAAAAAATGACAGTAAATGGACAGGAAAATAAAAGTTTCTTTTCCAATGTGATGTAATAGTCCCCAGCCCCCATGGAAAGGGCTTCTCCAAGGGGAGATACCAGGGGGGATAGACAAGCCAAGAACAAGACTCCCAGGAAGTCCCCAAGGAACCTTCAAGAAGGATCTGGGACTTGGCCTCTGAGCAGTCCCTCCCTCGGCCTCTCTCCAGGAGAAGCTGGGGTGCGTGGAGCCCTCTGCTGAGCCCTCCCTGCGCCTCTCTTTCCCCTGGGCAGGGTCAAGGTTGTGATCTGAGGCTGGGGTCTCTGGTGAAGGCAGGACCAATGATGGCCACAGCTCTTTCTAACCTGCTCATTTCGAAAGGAACAGAGGAAGCAACACCCTTGGCCTCCACTGTGTCCCCCAGTCAACCGCAGGGGATCACCAACCTTTCTCTTCAGCATGGAAATGCCCCCCTCCCCAGCTCAGAGCCCCAGCTGGTCCCGCTCCATTCACAAGGCCAGAAGGGTGAAGGGGCAGATGCCGAGTCTGATTTCAGATAGAGCAAGGCTGGGAGAGGCAGCGGGAAGATGCTATCAGGGACATGACACAAAAATAGCTGTAGGAAGCCAAACGGCCACGAAAGAAGAGAAAGTCTTGGACTCAGTGGAAAGAGGCTGCACGTGAACCCCCAACACAGAAAGCGATCAGACATTCCCCTTCTCAGGAAGGAGGGAACTGAGGAAGAAGGATCAGAGAGATGCAGAGGCAGAGCTGCCCTGAGAGAAAGAACCCCAATTGCAACACCCAGGCCAGTGAGAATGACCACCTGTGTCACCAGGCACGCTGAGCAAGGTCTACGTGTTGTCCTGGGGGTTGGGCCCATCCAATGTGCTCACAGGTTTCCCACAGACCAGCATCCCCACAGGAAACCCAGCTTCTGAACGACCAAGTCCTGAACTACCTAAGGGAATCTGGTGTTCTCCACTTTGATTTTTCTAGTGTCACATAGGCTCTGTCACTCTCTCTTTTTTTTTCTTCCTTATGTGTAATGGCATGGAAATTAGGAGCTCGTGGGTTGGCTGAAGCCCAAGAGGGAGGGCAACTATGTTTTCAAGGCTATGTTTCATTCAGGAAGAAATTTTGGCAATGCCCATTATGATATAACCCTATCAGCCAAGCCCAAGCCTTCTCCTGCTGGTGACCTGAGCGCCGGGCCTGTGTGGCTGATGCAAATGGCCGTGGCATCCACATGGTGATACTTACAAGTAGATGCTGGACTCGTTGCCTCCCATGTCTGGAGATTGCAGCTTCTGCACAAGGATTACGATGATGCCGATGAAGAGCACAAAGTTAACCTGAGGGCCAAAGAAAAGGCAGACAGACATGACTCTGGGCAAAGACTTTGTGCACTCCTGCCCCCTATACAGGCTCCTCTTCCCCACAGGTACCTTCCCCAGCTAGTCGAGATCCCCTCTAGACTTCTAATCCAAGATGGTGGCAGGAGAGCGCTAATGTAGCTCCTACCCACCACAGTGTCACTGCAATGAAAGAAGAGATTCGAGAAACAGAATTCCACAGGAGTTCCGGAAAATAGGGAAGGGTGTCATGAGTAAGTGGGGAAGGTGAGCCATGTCTAGAAGAGAAAAAGAAAGTAGGACCAGGCTGGTGGGAAAGCTACAACTTAAGAGAAAAGAGTCAACTGCAGAGGTGAGAGCTCTTCTCTGGGAAAACTCCAAGATGAGCGTCATGGAATATGGGGAATCTGTGTGGCCATAAGCCTTGCTAATTACAGGACTGCCTGGGAACAGCAATAGCAGTATTTGCCGTCAGATAAAGATCTTTAACAGATGCTTTCTAAACAAAGTGGGAAGCTGTGTGTATGTGAGAAAGGAGGAGGAAGGAGAGCAAATAAATAAATGAGGACTGTTCAGGGATGTCTTGGAGCTAGCCAAAGCAGCCTTGGAAGAAAAAAACAAAGAGCCTCAAGTTAGTCTATTTAAAAAAAAAAATCATAATTACTGAAAACTAATTAGGCCTTCAAATCAAAAAAAAAAAAAAGCTAATAAAACCTCATAGATTACCTACGAAGTTAACAAAATCCTGCTACAAAAGCCAGGGGAATACAGAAAACACTTTCACAGGCACATAGACATAGAAGACCACAGAATTTACAGAGAGCAAGGCAAAAAGTTAAAACAAATATTAATAAAGAGAATTTAGCAGTGTATTCAACGAACAAACAGATCATGACCACAAAGGTTTCAAACTAGAAATGCAAAAATAAACCTAATATTTGTTACGACAACAGATTGCAGTAAGCTTCCATTAAATCCCTAAAGACTGGTGAATGAGTTGGTCACAGAAACATCAGCAAAGGTAGGGGAAATACCAGAAATGATACCTTGCTCATAGAGGGCAATTTTTGCTATCTATGAAAATGTACAATGCACATATCTTTGTCCCAGGAATTCCACTCCTAGAGATTTACTCTAAAGAAATATTCACATATGTTCAAAGAAAGGCACAAATATATATTCCTTGTTCATAATGAAGTTAGATTGGAATACTCTCAATGTTCATCACTATGGGTATGATCACTTCAATATCTCCAAAATGCATTTGATAAAATCCAATATCCATGCTTGAGATATTAAGAATTCATACTAAAACAAGCCAGGAAGAGAAACTTCTCCAGTTCCATGCAGGGTAATTGCCAAAAGCTAGAGAAAACATCACCCTGTACAGAAACCAGGAATAAAAGGGACACATACTGAAAAAGAAGGACAAAAACTGTTTTCATTTGCAGATCATGTAATTTCTACCTAGAAAACCCACGTGAACCAACAGAAAAGGGACAAGAACTAATAAAAGAGTTCATAAATGAAACTAAAAAAAAAAAATGCACAAAAGACAAGAGCTTCCCTACACTCCACCAGTAACCCATCAGAAAGTAGAAAGAAAGAATGATTCCTAGATTCAGTAAAAGGCCAAACTGGGGAACACCTTAGAGGTGAACATAACAACAAGAAAGAAATCTAAAAAAGTTTACCAAAATAACTCTGTAACAAGGACCGAATAGGTGGAGAATCATGTCACACTCTTGGAGAGAAAGACTCCACCATTTAAGCAAACCAGTTCTCCAAATTAGCCTATAAATTCAGTGTGATTCCTACACGATCTCAAACATACTTTTTTTTTTAAATTTTACAATTTTGCAACTTGACAAGGATATTCAAAAGTCCACTTGAAGAGTAAATGGGCAAGGAATTTTTGAAGAAAAACAAAATAAGAGGAGAAATCTGCTACAAAGCATGCTACAAGGTCTCAGTAACTAGGAAAACGGGGAATCTGCCTAGGGAATAGACAAATAGATTAGCAGCATAAAAGTGAAAGTCTGGATCCAAAAATAACATTTCAATAAAAAGGATGCAATAAAAAGAATTGAGAATGTGGAATGTACATCCATTAGAAAGATAAAATTAAATACCATTTCAGGCCAGACAAAAAAATTGAATTTCAGCTGGATTAAAGGTGTATACATAACAGTACAATTCACAAAAGTATTACGATACAAGGAAGAGGCGTATTTTTATATCTTAGGTTAGGAAAGAACTCTATAAACAAGAAGTAGGGCTCAGAATTTATAAAGCCGGAGGATTCCACTGCAGAACAGCTATGCTGTCTTAGAAACACAACACATATAACAAATGAAGGGTTATTATCCTTCACCGTAATAAATATAATCTGATAGAAAACTAGGCAAAAGAGATAGATGGGAATATTCAGAATTGAAAAAAATATATGATTAAATGTTCAGAAAAACTGGTCAATTAGCTAACAATATGGAGAAATGTTTGTGAGATTACTATTATCCTCCATAAGAATATGTAAAAATCTAGACGATTGATATTGGGGAAATGCACCACCCTTCCAGAGGAAGTGTGAATTGCTAAAGGAATTTTGCAAAACAATTTGGGACCTAAAAATTTTAGATGTACAC